CTCCTTGGCTCAGGCAATCTCACTTGGAAAGCTTGTACTTGGAAACAACTAGTCAGTTCTGCACTTCATAACTTCTGTTTATTGCCATTGCAAGGCAGCTGCATCTTCTAGATTCCTCATCAACTGGGTCAGAAAGATTCCAAGTTGTAAGGAAAATGCATTAATTTAATGATTAATGAAGTAAAAAGGCTTCAACTAAATTACTAAGAAACATTACAGAGCACACTAAAGTAGAAAACTGTGTTTAAATTGCTGTCTTAGGTCATTAAGTATATTTTTCTCTGTTAAAAAAAAATCAGAAGTTATTAAACATGTTTGTGGAAGCAAGAAATTAGGCCATTAATTTTTTTTTCTTTTCCGCAAAATAAAAAAGTAGTTTCCAGGCTTAGAGAGGTTTTGATATGACATTTGGGCAGCTTAGAGCTCAAACAAAAGCAGGGTCTTTGACATTACTTCAATACTTGGATAACTTATAAATGCAGGCTCTCCTTTTTGAACTTGAGAGTGCTACTGTGGGTAGGAGTGACTGGAATGTGAATGGATTTGCTGAACAAAATCTTTACTACACTCTCCATTCTTTATGTTCTATCTCCTTCTTTCCATTTCCCTTTTCCAGTCCAAAATGCACAGATTCCAGTTCGTGCAGTAGAAAGTATTTTATTTATGAAATAAAATTAGCTTCTGCTCACATCCTTAGCTGTTATTCTCTTTTACTGAGCAAGACTGGCTGTCCAGACCTGTACGTCAAGACAACTGAAACTGCCTCCCACTGAAATCATTGGAAGTGAGCAGAAGAATCAGCTCAGGGTTCAGTTCTAATCTTAATATAGAAATGTGTCATTGCTGCTGAAGTTTATAATTGCTTACAAAAACTATGGAATTAATCCAAGATTTGTACATGCAAGAAACATCAACTTCTTGCATCCGAGACTCACTCTAATACTGTAAACAGGCAGTAAATCACACTTTCATAACTGTCTCTAAAAGTTTAGAAGAGTGCTAATTACTTTATCTTTTCACTTTTTCATTTATTATCTTTATCAGAGTGGAGAAAAGGGCACCTGAGAATGTAAGTTTCTAAACTTGTTCATACTAAAGATTTTTGGAAAGCGGAGGAGAATTTTAAACAGAAATCTGTTCTACATGGTTGGAAATCCAGAAGGATGGAGCTCATAGGAGACCTCTGTAAAATGACTGATTTTGCCTCAGATGACTTATCAGGTGCTCAGAGGTGATGATTATTAGCAGAATCAGTCACAAATGTTAACTTTGCATGAAATTTTAGTGGACTGATTCTATCATATCAGTGATTATTTAAAAAAAACCATAAAATTACTTTTCTACTTTACACAGATCTCTAATGTCTGCCTAGATGTTTACACTGCTTCATTGGATGCATATATGGATTAAAACTCAAATGTATTGTAGATATTTTCATGTGGAAAGCAGAATATCTTGAGATAATCAGGTCTATATGTGCTGAGACATTGAAAAATGACACAACAATGACAAGTCCACCTTCCAGTTATGTCCAGAACAACATCAGAAGTTAGCCTGATGTATTTTGAAAGTTAGAACTCTGGCAGTGATTTCAATATATGAAAACTGTGTTTGATTACAGAAGGAAGGGAAAGCCTCAAAAGAAAAGTTACAATCTGATAAAATTTTGACATATTTTGAGAGATATTTTATACATATTTTGTGATAAATTGTGTTATTTTATACTAGAATGTAAAGTTTTAAAGAATGTGGGAGTGCATCTATTTGTTCCCATTAAGGAACTTATACAAGGCTCTTATACTTACAGAATACTTCTGGTGTGAAACATCAAAGGGAAATTGAGGTCTCTTTAATCATTAAAATCAATTTTCTTTAAAAACACCTACTGTTGTACTTCTCAAGGAAGGCTTCATGCAATCAATAGAGAGAGCCCTTCTAATGGAAGTGGCCTTTGCAGAATGCATGGTTATATATTTTTCTTTGTATAAGGATCATCATAATCATCATCTATGGCACTTGTACATTTGTCAAGGTCAATAAAGAAAACCAATCTATTTTAATTTATTTTCAGTCAATTTCACTACATGTATCTTAGTGTTAACAGGTTCTAAAAGTAAATGTATTCAATTATGATATTTCACTGGTTGTATAGAAAAGGACAATGTTGTTTTAAAAGTGTATCTATGGGTACTGTATTGACTTTTGTATCTATCAATCAGAGACACTTGGATCCACTGCAGACCAAATTTCTCTACTCCAACTGACTGCAGAATGTAATTCTTGTCTAGGAATATCTGTATTATCTGCATATATTGTAGGGTAGATTACAGAAATTCATTCCATCTGCCTGTTCTCTGTACAACATTTGCGAAGAACTGGTGTAAATATTTAATACTTCTAAGAATGCAGTAAAATATTCAAGAACTTGACTATGTCCAGTCACATTAATGGATTCAAATCCCACATGTCCATGGTTGACTGTGTATTCATAGAAGAGAAAAAGGCGCTGAGATGTTGTGCTCCTGCAAAGACGTTAGCCTGGTTTCATGCACTGACAAGATTAATTGCAGACCTCTGAACCTGATATGTTTTCTTAATATCCAACATGGCTCGTACTTTTCTCATTCAGGCTGAAATATGTGGCCTGCTCTTGCATAATTCAACACCAGTCTTCTCTGTGTGTGGCACTGTTTTTACTCCTTGTAAGCGCCTGCAAATTACTAAAGTCAGTGATACGATGCGCAGCAGTTTGCTTAGAGTTATTTCAATGATTATGGAAAGAAAGAAAATAAGCTTTTTTCCAAACTGTCAGAACACTGCAGAAGAGACTGCAGTCATAATTTATAGAATAGTACAAAACAATTTTTCAAGGTTTTTTTTTTTAAGTGCATGTCCTCTTTACTCAGTGGGCTGTAATACAACATGTAGATTTTCTGGTGTGGCCTAAGTTCACTTTACATCTGCTAATTGAATTGTTCCAATATTTCTTCTGGAAGCTGATACTTTACATTTTTAATTTGTTTTTTTCAGATAGTGTGCTGACTGAATATGTTAGGTGACAAAAAACACACATATTTAGATACTGCCTGTTTCATAATCTATGAAAACACGCTGCAAAATTAATTTTCCTCAGTTGGGACTATTCCAATACTCTGTAATGGTAAGAGACCATGGAGGAGAGAAAAACCAAACTTGCATAAAATATATCCAGCTTTATTAGCCTATAAAATAAGGAATACAATTGTTCATGAAGACATAAGGCCCAAGTTTATCCTCTCCAACCAAAGGTTTATATCTAAGGTCCTGGAGACATATGGGGGCATAGTAACCATAGGATCTCTATACAGTAAAACCAAGAGGCAGGTATGGACAAGAAGCCAGCAAGCCAACAAATGACATGAAGCATGTGGTGGAAATACGGGGAAAATATACTTTATTTTGAAAAAGAGGTCTTATTTGGGATATTTTAATTGAACTTGGGTAGTGTTTCATCAGTCCCAAGATAGTGATGATTCCGTTTACAAAACATGAAATAATTCTGCATTTGGTCTCTAATATTCTGGTAAGTGCTTCAGTACCTGATCTCATATTGCTCTTAATCCTGTGATGTCTTCAAATTAGTAAAATTGTGTGTTCTGTGATGAAATAGTGTGCGCAACACAAATGAACAATTAATGAAAACTGTGGAGTGATGTGCTGAAAAAGAAACTGAGCTGGAAAGAATTCCAAGGTGGCACCTGCTCTGAAATTGGACTTGAGGGCCTCCAGAGGGCCCCTTCAACTTAAAGTGTTCTATGACTCTACAATTCTGGGCTTGCAGAATTATTTCAAGAACATTAAAGAGTCCTAGGTAGACAATGATGTGTTGAAAGCAGTGGAAATTTGATAATGTCAATGATCATTCACCAGAATATAAGGCATATCCCCATCCCCATGACTGTTTTAAAAATTCAAAAAAGGAATGCTTTGTTTATATTTTTCATGAATACTAAGTTCTTAGCAAATCTTAATTACAGTGATTTGAGGTTTAATTAGAATGTTTACTGTTTTGCTATCAGTAGATTCATTTTTAATGCTGATTGTTTATTCAATGACCATTTTCCTCTTTTAGAAAATCTAAAATAAAGTCCTCTGATGAAATATGTCAATTCTCATGGACACTTTCTTTAGTCCAGAACTGAATTTGCATATACATGTATAGTACACAGATGAATGAACTGCTGAATTTTAGCCGAGAATAATCAACTCACTGATGGAAAACTTAACATGTCCATGACCAATGTTGAAGTCTCAGATGTGAATCAAAGAGAGGAGAACACAAGTCCCCTGTATCAGTTTAACCATTGCAGAGCTCTATTCCATTCTGTTTTTACTTTCCAGACTCATCCTATTTTCTTTTAAAGCAATAAAATTGGATTATTAGGGTTTTTTTAATCCAGTCGTCTCCTATCTATGATTAGGTATATTACTTGATATAAGAGTGAGAAATCATCTTCATAGATTACAGTGCAGGAGAAGAAAATTTATTTATATCAAAATGACAGTAAGAATTCAGAATAGTCCACCTCAAAATTATGACATGACATGGACAAATATATTTTAGATAATGAAGGATATTGTAGCATGTTATTTGAATGATTCCTTTTCCTTTCAATCCTGTAAGCAGCAGCACTAATAATAATAATAATAATAATAGTAATAGTAGTAGTAGTAGTAATAATAATAATAATAATAATAATAATAATAATAATAATAATAATAATAATAATGTCAAGCTTAAAACTTGATATTAAAATTTTACCCATATTAAAATGTAAGTTTTCTCTTCACTTATTAATTATGTAGATGCAACATACCAAAGCAATATATGCCTTGTAGGCATCTGTTTAGAGATGGCAGATGTACACAGTGCTCTGGATCCCAGTTTGAGCTGTTTTATGCTATTACTGTCTGAACATGATAGATTCCTTTTTCATATGATTTATAACTTGTCATTACAGGACACTGTAGTCCTCCAGACAACATTAATCTATTGGTGATTCTGAAGTGAAGATGTGATTGATGCTGTAGCAGAAACTGGTGATATAGGTAAGCTCTTCTTTTCTTTTCTTTCCAAACCTTTCTTGCTGAAATGCATAGCTGTACCTAGACGGGCTCACAAAACTATTCTAACTTCTGTAGCACAGAATAAAAAATTCATCAAGGCTCTCATTTGTTTAAATTTTTATTTTTCAGATAAACTTTTTTTTAACTTTTTAAACTTTAAAAACACATTTTTTAATTAAGCGAAAATATCCGGTTTTATTACTTTAACCAAATGATTTTTAGCAATTTTTCGGTTGTCATCTCTAATCTACCTTGGGTGAATTTCTCTTTTATATTTCTTATTGAAATAGATAGCAACATATCTCCTTTCACTTCTCTCTAGGATTTTATACAGAATTCTCTTCTGCTATTACACAGAACATTTGGAAAGGTACCAATGAATTGATTGTCCTCTCTTGTTTTAAAATCAGCAGTAGGAGTGACACTTAGAGATTTAATGACATGAATAAGACTCTACTTTTATGTTCTTGAGCATTATGTTTCTACCTCTCAAATGCTGTTCGGGTCACTAATAAACTTCTGTACTATTTCTCCTAGAAAATATCCTTCATATCCTCCACAGTCAGATAAATACTTCTAAACTGATTTCTGCAGAGGGCAGAAGAAAAACACTAAATGTAAATCCAAAGAGTTACATTTAATCTACAACTGTCATGCTCTGATCTGGTTCTGCATTTCAAGACCCTTCAGAGATACAATACAAAAGGTTCAAAGGAACACTTCATGTGATTTGACTACACTGAGATTTTAACTTCCACAATTTAATAGACAAAAAATCATTCACCTGTTAAAAACATGGCCCGATTCACTGATGGTATTGCTGCACATCTCTAAGCTCCTTAGATGGTGTCATCTTAAAATTATGGACATAGCACTATAAGACAAAACAGGGCAAGTTTGCTGGCACTTAAATCTGGTGTTAGAAGGGTTATGGGCCTATAGAGGGAGGAAAAGCTGAAATCAACCCCATTTAGGAAAACATGAAAGACATCCCACAGCCTAAAGTAAGATATGTAACTTCATACTGTGCTCATTCTCCTGTCCATTGCCTTGTTGGGACCCTAATCACTCACAGTACCACTACAGCTATGTGTAACTGCAACTAGCAGAAGAGCTTAACCTGTATCAAACTTGCTGATGCCTTCAGTCTCTGTCTGGGGCATTCAGAAATATTCTCAGCCTGAGTATTGTTTTTGTGTGTGAGTTGGACTTGCCTTGGCTGGACACCAGGTGCTCACCAAAGCCCCTCTATCACTCTAGTTCCTCAGATTAACTTATTTACAATCAAATCAGAGTTAGATAATGGCCAGTGTCAGTTTCTCCTCTGCCAGCTGGCATGGGGTCTGTCTGACAACCTGTAGACTCCTGGTGCCAAAACCTTGTCATGTAACCCTAATACAGAATATCTGTAACTCTTTAATGAATGCTTTCACAGTTATTGCAATTGTATATTTATTGACTTCTGAATTCTGAATAACCTCTTTCATTGATATTCCCCAAACATAATAAGGCCATATTCCCATGGGTCCTGGTCAAGTGAATGGGTGGAGGGAGATTCCTGTTTGAAATGGGGCACATTTCAGAGCAGGAACCTAATTTTGAACATTGTTGATCTTTCTCTATTGACTGCAATTAAACTCAGGGCTCTTAAGCCTCACTGAGCTAAAGCAAACCTGTGTGACTGTATCCTCCTCTCATGCCTTTTTTTCTTGGTGTTTTATCCTCATGCTAATTTCCATGCAAGTAAATATCAGACACAGAGCATTTGCTTTGTAATGATGACTTTGGCATTGCAAATGGTGACTGTAGAATGTGGCAAAATCTGGAAGCTTATAAGTGGAATTTCAGACCTGACATATCAGTACCTTTAGGAAGGAGGCTGCTGTACATGAAAAATATTCCAGCATAATGCAAAGTGCTGCAATTGTATCCTATACATTTCTCCTAGCAAATGAAGCGTTGCCAGTCGCAGACCTTGAGGGATCAAGGATCTGTTTCTTTCAGAAGAATTTTGTAGCAGATATTTGGCAATCTTTGCCATGCTTTGGCTGAAGACTTTATACTCTGGTCTTCAGAGAGGAAACCTTATCAGAAATGACTGACATCTTACAAAACATGCTGTATAATGTGTTTGCTCAAAAGTGCAACATTAGCAACTGGGAAATTGAGTATTTGAGCCTTGGATATGTTGCTGAGATTTTGGCTTTTGTTGATGATTTTTTTCTCATTCTTTTAAACAGAGTTTTATTTGCTTGCTCTTCAGAGCTCAGGTTGTGTTCTCTGTTCATTCTCAACCCTTTCTCTGCAACGTGAAGTAGAGTTCTTGGTAGCACCATCTGTTCCTCAGAAGAAGCAACAACAAAATTGTGGGTTGGACACACAGCATTCCAGTGTTTTCCAGTATGATTAATTTGGGAATGAGGACACATTCAGTTTCCAGCTAGCTTTCTTTAAGATTTTGGCAAATTTTCTCTATCTCTTTTAATTAGAGAAAATAATTTGGAATTCACCTGTTTGGCTTTTTTCCTGAAAATGTAACAGTATGCTGAAATAGAAAAGTACAACAATCTTCCATGATTTAGACCAATATGATAAACATGATGCAGAGAGATCTAAACAGCATTGCAATTTTCTATTTAAATTATTATTTTTGACCATTCCTCTAAAAGTATCAAAATGATTCTTCTTACTTTGAATCAGACAAATACAGGTACCAGCATTTTAATGCCTTTCAGGCCATTATCTCAGGCTCATGAATATACATCTTCTAGTATCATATTGTGTGCTGAAAGTTATTTTTTAATTAACTCAAATATTTTGTATATAGTTTCAGTTAATTAAAGTTGTGCTTATTCATAAATTACATAGGTTGATACATTTGGTGGAAAAATTCAGCCTTAGCACATGTATATCATACAGTCGTTGAGTAGATTCAATTGGAAGGTGCCCATGGATACTATTTGGTCTTAAGCACTCCCAATAAGGTCAATTTTAAATTAAAAATGTCTTCAAAAGGAAAGAAGAACCAAATTATTACCTATTTTTTCTGGTTTTCTGTTTGTTGGTTGTGGGGGGTTCTCAAATAAATATTAAAATATATTATTTTTTTGCAAGGTTTTTTCTGAAAGATATAAATTAAATTCAGCAAAATTACTTTAAAATGTAAAAAATTAATTGTATTCTAGGACCCAGTTAGTTCTGAAATCAGGGTTTAGAAATTATAATGCTCTTCTACATATTTAGAAATTCTCTCTCTTGACTTTTCACATGCAAAAGAAAAAACACCTTAAAACTAGGCATAAGTGAGGAACTTGACTCCATTGCATCTTGAAGATGAAAGATGGGCAACAGCATAAGTACCTGAAATTAACTTGAAAGACTAACAAGTAAAATGTGCAAAGGAAGTTTTTATTTTTCCAAATTTGTTCTCTCTCTTGCTACATGGCAAGCAGAAATATATTAATTTCTTTAATGCAAATAACTTGATATTTTGACAGCCAGAGAAGCCAGTCATTCCTAATGAACCCATTGATGAGTACCTCTCGGCATTTAATACTTCAAAACTTTTATCTGCAGCCAAAGACCATATTTCTAATTAGAAAACTTAATGAAGAAGTGTTTTTCCCGATGTGATCTAAGACAGTACCGTGAAATTTGCCTTGAGAAAATGTAGAAAATTAATCTGTGAGTGAATTTATGAATTAAAATATTTCAGAAAAGGCATTTTTGTCACATCATATGTCCATCTTGTCATATAATGAACAAACCCAGCACTCCTCTTTAGGTTCAGGTGTGACAGTATAGTAATAACTCTGTCTTGGCATCATGTTGTTCCTAATATGGAGTGAACTGTTGGGTAATAACAGATGTGCCATCCTTCCATGCTCCTTCCCTTTGTGTAGTAATGTGCTCATGGTTGCGCCTGCACCCCCATCTACTGGTAAAATTAATTGTCACTATGATCATGCTACAAAAATCTGGAAAAGAAAGTGAATCTTGAAGGAGTAATACAAGAAAAATGACAATTTGGGTCATTAAAAACTTTACAACGTACTGTTTCTGTAGAAGCCAACAGTTCCTACACAATTTGTGTTTTCACAGTGAGCAGTATCTTCTTAGGAGGTATTTTGGTGCTTTTCAGGGTTGTGACCAACAGATTTTTCTTGGGAGTACGACCTATGCTGGAAGTAATATCCCAAGTACTGTGAATTCTCAAAAGATCTGCATTGATAATCTTTGGCTTATAGTCATTCACATTGGACTTGTCACCTTATTCCTGAGAGCCATAGTCATCCCCTATGCACTACTTAAAAAAATAGGTGCACTTACAACCAAAAGCTTCGATTTAAGATTAAAAAGATGTGTTTTTTGTTGTAGAACAGAAAGGAGGGTTTGGCTGTACTAATAATTCCCATTACAAAATGCAATGTCTGGACTTTCAGCTAGCGTCCTATATTTAGGAAGGGAAAGATTTTATTAGTTGTAAATGAAAGAAAACTAATTAGTGTAATTTGTGGACTATATGCTGATGCAGTCAAACTCTTTTAAAACCAATTAAAGATGTTAAAACAAAATTATTTGTCAAAATAAAGATTAATCTATTAAGAAAGAAATAGACAAATTTAGCACAGTTCCTGATTATATTTCTGGGTTTATTCTAACATAGTCTTAACTTTGTAATTTTCAAATATCATCTGTAACAATCAAATTTGTAACACAAGCATCTTTAAACTAAAGGCACAGGTTTCTTTGTCATCATCATTACAGATTAACAAAATGATAGTAAATAAGATGCCTTGCAGTCAGAGCATCCATATTATCGAGAAGAGCAAGCAGCCCTAGTATTAAGAGATGTTCCCTCAGGACAGGAGTCTTTGATTCAGTAATTATGTTCAATATAGAAAGACTGAACTACTTTAATCACTAAGTAAATTACCAGAGTTACAGTTATAATGAAAATTCAGGGTTGAGAATAAGGAGCT